ATTTTCCTATGCCTTATAAAAAAATTGCCCCCACTCAACTTTTCACCTTTAGTGAGATTTGCGATCACATTTTTAAAAGCCATTTTAAGTCAAAACAACAATATTGCACCAATTAATATGGATGTCTCATGATTTGTTTGATCCATGATTGCACTTAAATTATCATGTTTATGCTTGTTAATTGTCTAGCTACTTCAAAAAAAAAAATGACCATTAAAAGTCTTGATATAAAAATTTCGCATGGCCACACTGAACTCTTGCTTGTAATCAATACCAAGTTTCTTTCTTGGATCTAGCATCTCAAATACCTCAGAATTTGCAAGCAGTGCACCTTCCTAGATGCACTCCTACAAAAAAAATTCCCTTTTACGTGGATTGAAAATGCCTAAAAAAATTAGTAGGGCCCACCATGCACAACTTAGCATCTGAGGCCTATCAAGATTAGTTAGTCATGATGCTCATGGTCTAGGATGCCTCAACTTTCATAGCCCATGCATAAGGCAACACAACTATGTGGTCGGTACATAAGGTTATATAGTGCACATTCATGTGGTCAATATAACCATCATGACTTTGCAACATCATTGGCCAACCATTGCCAAGCCTTCACATGTAAGGTGGGAACAATAATGTGGGCACAATCGAGAATCCGACTTCATGATGGCTCTGATTCCAATGTTGAGAAGATACAGTCCAACGGCAGAAGCAGAAGCAAAATAATACAACCGAAAGCCGGGTATCATACATAAATGCTCGCACAACAATTTTGATGAACGAATGTGGAGATAAACGATTAATTCACATAGGCACGTTCGACAACTATTAGAGCTGCCAAAATCTATTCCACACCGTAAATCCCGAGCGAGGTGGAAGCTCATGAACACTCTTACAAAATGCGATAGGAGCAGTACAAGCTCGACTTTTTTTACAACTCTATCTCTTAGGGCCGGATCTCTCCTTAGATCTCAAATGGGAAAGGATTGTACTCTCTGTCGCTCTTTCTCTCTTTCTCTCAAGAGTTCAGCTCTCACACTTTCTCGTGTGTGTTGTAATGTGTAGAAACCTCCACTCCTCTCCCTTTTATAATGAGAGAAAGGGTCATCTCATTCATGTGGGAGTAACCTCCTCATGAATGGGCACCCTTATGATGCATGAGGGTAACCCCCTCATGAAGAGATGCAACCTCTTCTCACCTCCCTTCATGTAGTAACATAAGTCAAACATAAAGAGGTGTGGTCCACTTAGGTATACCCTCACACTACGGATACACCCTTATGTGTAAAAAACCACAACCATTGAGGATCATCAAGCCACAGCTCAACACACTAAGCAGGAGGTTCTCAACTACATAGTTGATGATCAGATTAGTGTGTGATTGATATGTATGAAATCGGGGGAATAGGTAAGACAATTCTCATGGAGAATGTAAATAACCATTTAATGAAAAGAGAGAATGTCAATAATCATCTGATCCAGATTGCCCCTTGCAATCATCACTCTTGCTTGGGCTATGGCATGCAAGGAGAGTTGGGAGGCATGGGAAGACTCCCTACGAATATTGAACATGTCAGCTACCAGTCTCCCAGGTATGGATGATGCATTATATGTCTTAAAATTCAACTATGATTGCTTAGATACAGAACTTAGGTCTTCTTTTATTATGCCTTGTTCCCTGAAGACATCTCGATAGAAGAATTGAGCACGATAATCTACTGTATAGGAGAAGGGGTATTAGATGATACAGAAAGTATGAAAGTGTTAAAAAACAGAGGGCATGGAATAATAGAAACGCTCAAAGTATCATGCTTGGTTCAAGATTGCAATGTCGAAAAATCAATAATGATGCATGATATGTTGCGTGATTTTCCTATTTGGATCACTTCTTCTAGCTCAGGGGAATATCTGAGTTTTTAGTGCGATCTGGTGTTGGATTAAAGCAAGCACCAAAGGCTTCCAAATGGAAAGATTCAAAGAGAGTTTCATTGATGAACAACAATCTAAGTAGCCTGCCAGAATTGCTAGTATGCCAAAAACTTGTTACATTGCTTCTTGAAAGGAATGAAGATCTAGTGGCCATCCCCACAAATCATTTTTTTGAATGCATGCCCAACCTTCGTGTATTCGGTCTAACCAACACAAATATTGAATCTCTCCCATATTCAATACCAAAACAAAAAGTTAAGGAGCTGGATTCTGGGCTAGCTGAACTCACTAATCTAAGATTTCTCGAACTTTCTGGGATGTTTAGACTTAAAGGACTCCCAACTGATTTACTATGTAGTTTGTTTAATTTGGAGTACTTGAGTGTTTTTGGTTATGAAGGTTTAAAATGGAGTATTGTCGTAGCATATGAGAGGAGAGTTGGATAAGTGCATGGGAGTTAACTCAATTGGAACCAATGTTCGCAAAATCGAACCAGATCAGTTAACTGGACATGGGACTGGAAGCGGCTTAACCGGTGTATCCGATAAACCAGCCGATTCAACCACTCCAATCGGGCAAATTTCAGGCGGTAAAAAAAATGTTAAGAAAAATAAAAAAATGCAAAAAAAAACAACTAAAATATGCAAAGCATATAAAGAATGATTAAAACAAAACACATTCAAATGAAGTTGAAAATTAATGAAAAAAATGGATTTTAAACCATTTTATATTTTCCAAGGGCTATTTTTTAAATTTTCTAGAAAGATGGGAAAATATAAAAGTGAGTATTAATAACCATAAAAGTTTTTAATCTTTACCATAATGTAAAGAATATTTAAAAATACATTACAAATCAAATGCATTATTTTTTAGAATTTATATACTTTTTTTTTTTTAAAAATACCAGTTGATCATCCTAACTGCCCAAAATCGGAACCAGCCACTAGTCGGTTCCGATCTAACCGGGTGGTTAGTGTTTAGATCGGACGATTTTGCGAACATTGGTTGGAACGTTTATCTTTTCTAGACATTTGTATAAAAGGTGTTTGATTGGGATTGGGTTAAGTTGTTTGCAAAGAGATTGAGATGGTTTGGATTAATGGATTGTATGTTTGATTGGGATTGGGTTAAGTTGTTTGCAAAGAGATTGAGATGATTTGGGTTAAGGGATTGTACTTTCACAAACGATGGATTTGTTGCTTTCGAAGAATCACAAAGCATTGAAATTTGTCTTTAGTAGGTTGCAGGGGTATGACACGAGCCCCTATTCCTTGCTTAATGGAACATCTTTTAATAATTGGTTGTGAGGATATGGAATGTGTGATGATCGGAAAGGAGGCCAAAGAACGTACCTTCCAAAGCTTAGAGAAGTTGTACCTTTGAAATTTTTAGATCATCTTTTAGATCATCTTATTTTTAGAGCATAACGAAAGGAATAAAATAAAGCAAGTAATCTTAGGCATTGGAAAAGCGGGAATTTTAGGTAGGGTATACCTAGTTTTTTTTGGATTGGAAAGAATTTCCTTAGTTTTCTAAGGGTTTTGGGAGCTCCTGTAGTTGAATATGAATTATGAGATTTTCTGTAATTTTGGAGATTTTTCCTAATTTTTTTAGAAATTTTCTAAGTGTTTTTTTTATTTTATAGTATTGTTTAGCTATTTTTTAAATTTTGGGAATTTCTAAAAGATTTTTCTTCTTTTTTTTTTTGCCTCCTTTTGAGTTTTGAAGGGAGTATTTATAGGATTCAATTGATTATTTTTCTTAATTTTTTTTGAAAGTTTATTTATTTACCTTGAAGTTTTGGCCTTATCTAAAAAACAAGTTTACTGCGTTATCAAGACGCGTTACAGCCCGGCCTACGGCCTGACACTTGGGTCTTATAGGGAGTAAATTGTCATTTATTATATCTTTTTATCCGTAGTTCCGACCCATGTGATTCTTAGACCATTAGAAAGCTCTCAGGGTCTACTTCAATTTGGGATATGTTTTGCGCAATTTTTGAACAATATTATTGGGTATAAGTTGCCTATTGTGCACTAGGGTTTTTGTGGTCCTTCAGGCTCAAAATTGAGGTTTTTAGGAGTTCCCTTAGCTAGAATTTCTATTGGGTGTCTACACAGAGAAGCCACCACACTGAAAGAAGCTTGGGGCATGTTGGAAACACTATTTTTCAAGATGAATGATGCTCGATTGCCGTTCTTGGAAAACGAGCTTGGATCGGTGTCTCAAGGGACTATGACGACCATTCAGTACTTCATGACGGTAAAATCTCTTTGCCATGAAATTTCAAAACATGATCCAGAATCTTGGATTAGAGAGACCAAAATGAGATGTATCATCATTAGAAGCTTGAGACCCACATACAATGGGTTCATGACAAACCATCAGAGGATGGTTGACACAACTGACTCTCCAAGAATTAGAAAGTCTGCTAGTGAACTAAGAGACGTTGGCCAATTAGATGGCCGATATATTTGTAAAGGATGAAGAGGAGGTGCTCTTTGCACGAAAGAAGGCAGGAAAGACTGTCGAGACCAATTGAAGGAGAGAGGGCTTCCAACCAGGGGGAGCTAGACAAGGCAGTACCGACACAAACCGTCAACCATGGAGATTCTTACGAGACATCGAGTGCAACAACTGTAGCTAAAAAGGCCACATTGCTCGTGACTGTTGGTCAAAGAAAAGGAGGCCAGCTAAAGGAAATGTGGTGGCTACGATAAGTCAACAGTTCGAGATCGAGGAAGAATGGGATGTTGAGGCATCTTTTGCAGTAGCTAAAGGGATTGAATTGATGAGTTCGGAGTTGGCTGATTACTGATTGGATGATGCAAGAAGCCTTACAAGAGAGCAGTTATTAGTTGATCAATCAGTCAAACTAAGATTATTAGATGAATCTGAGAAACTTGTAGATAACGATGCACAACTAAAGTTGCAAGGCGATGACAGTTACTAGGTTGCGCACGATAGGTTTGCACAGGTCGTGAATACAACCTCAATCAAAATTCGCCATAAGGGAGATAAATCCTTTGCTCTTACCACGTTTGAGGTAGATGAAGTCAAGCCTCAGACAGGAGAGGATGCATGTTTCAAATGATGTCAAAATGTTCGAGAAGGTGAAGATTGAAGGTGGCCCAGTCATGCATGGACAACAAATGAACAAGAATTTGTTTGCAGTGTCAACATGTGACGTCCGAAATAACGTTACTGATCAAGTAATCGATGAAGTCACAAGAAACAGTGTTCGTGATGGCTCTGTGAGTGATGTTGAGCAGCAGCAGTTGTTACCCATGACGTTGGGTGATGCTACGAAAAGTGAGTCGCATGTGACTCATACTGGAGGAGTTGCAACCATTACAACCAGAATATATTAAAAAAGGCGAGGACAACAAGTGCGACTGCAAAGGTTTTCACAGACTCAAAAACTATATCCAGAGTATGTAGAAGCAACCTATGAACAAGTAGTGTCACATGTGCAGTGTGATATGTCCAGCATATTTAAAGTAAAAGAATCAAACTCATTTGATGAGACAAAAGGGAGTGGTTGAATTGTAGGCTGCAATGCGAGACGAGATTGATGCTCACGGTAAAAGACGAGAGAAAAAAAAAGAGAGGCTAAAATGAAGATTGGAACAACTCAATTTTGAGGGGGAAAATTGTGGAGAGCAATACGTGGTTGCTCTTCCAAGACTGCCAACGCATCTCACCCTCTCTCGTTCTTTCTTTCTTCTCTCTCTATATGGCTCTCTTCTCTCTCTCTAGATAATTCTCAAGAGGGCGGTTTATCTAAACTGACTTAGGGCTTGGTGAAAAGAAGTTTACAATGTGATGGGTCACGTGGCCCATCGTAGACTATATGTGTGCGCCGTTGGTTGGGTCTATAAATAGTAGACATTATTGTGATGTTAAAAACAAAAAAAGAAAAAGGATGGGTGAGTTGGGCGTAAGTGAAAAGAGAGTGGTTGATATGTTAGATAAGTTTGCTGTTAAGAGAGTGTATGAGTGAAAGTGTGAGCATGTATTGAGATAGAGTGACACGTAAGTACGGGTATAATGAAAACATGAGTGTTTCTCGCTCTAAGTCCCATTTATTGTGTGCATCTTTTCTACCATTAGTATTAAAGCTTCCGCAAAACTCTACACCTAAAGTAAATGAAAATGCTTATATAAAGATGCAAACCTTATTTGTAAACAGAAAAATATTCAATCCACATTAGGTGGACGGGTGCACAAATGCTTATATCCAACGACCAAAAATAAGTCTTGTATTTTATTTTGATTTTGATTTTTTTAATACAATAGCTATTTGAATTTTAAAGTGTAGGTGTATTTTTATAAATATAACAAAATAAAATGAATAAAAAGTATTTAAAGTAAAAAATGACAAAAATATCTCTAAATTTATTTTGGTCAATATTCTTTATTCAAAATATTTTTTATTAATTATGTTCAATTTTACTTATAAAAATGAACATAAAACCAAAATTTCCAAACAATATCATTTTAAATGAAAAATTTAAAATAAAATTGAGATTCATTATTGGCCATTATTGGATGAAGATTGTTCAATCTGGACCATATGCACCTTTTAAGCGTCTGCTAATGCGGATATAATACCAACATTTTGTAGAAATAATGTTATATTAATTTATATTTTCTATTTTATTTGGATAGTCTAAATTAAATACTTTTTAAAAGATGCCAACAATGCCTTAACAGATCAGTTAAATCTACACTATCCAAATAAAATATATAACCTTATTTATACAAGGTTTACAAACCACACCCTTAAATAAATGATCTTTACATGTACAATCACTCATTTCTATTTTTCACTCATTTGACTTTTTTTATCAAAAGATTTAGCATTACTATCCATTACCCCTCCGATAAAACCCAATCTAAGAGAACTTTTAGGATCTTGAATTTTGGGGATGTAATCTCCGCATAACCTCAACAAAAGAATTTCAAATTATACCTTCTATATGAAAAAACCATGTCTCAAAAAGATTGAATAGAGACTGCCTAAATTTAAAAGGTAAGATACAAGTGAGAGAACTCAAAATTGAATTTTTTTAAAATTTTAAAATAATCATCTAGCATTTCTTCAAATGACTCACAAAATTTCAAATTTAAAAAACAAAAAACTTCTAATAGATCAATGAGCCCTTTCGAGCAACTACCAAAGCCCGAGCGCGTGACCTGCCTAGGCCCGAGACTGGCCGGACCGGGCCGTAGGGCTGCCCCAATTAGGTCTGAGAAAATCTGCCCCACGGCATTTTGGCGGTAACGCCTCCATGTATGAACCCTATTCAATATTAGCAGGGTTGCACTTGTGCGCTTAGAGAGAGAGAGAGAGAGAGAGAGAGGAGTAGAGGAAGGAAGAGAGTACGTCGTCGTCGGCGGAGAGTGTTGGTACGGAAACGTAACGGTAGTAGTAGTAGTACGAGGAACGGACGGACGTACTA